TAGTTTGTTATAAAAAGTACAGAGTACTCTTACAATGTTACACAGGACCTACGTAGATGCGCGACTTCCAGCAAGTTCTTAATCGAATTATACACTAAACAACAATCAAGTGTAATGATCTAAATACAAGATAGTTTTCATTGTACATAGGTATCTGCTTAACGAATGTACGATCTTTCAAGCCGAAATGTGGGCTATAAAAATGTTCATTGAATATACTAACAGCAACTTCAATAATAACAAGATAAACATCTATACGGATTCGTTCTCATCGGTTCAAACCATTAAAAACAGAAATCTACACCCAATTGCCGAAAAAATAAGAGAGCTGATANAACCCTTTACATCGGTCTGGTCTACAATATTAGAAGGCAATGTACCGTACAGCACCTTTGGCATTTTCACATTTAGGCCATACCGATACTTGTAGCAAACATCATTTCTACAATAATTTAATCTTCGCACTCAAATTTGAAACGGTACATTTACCCAAATATTTCCTAATAAACTTTTATATGGTATTTCAAACTTAACGGTAAGTTATTCCTCTGTTATTTAAGAATTAATTCCGATATTTTAGTACAAGAGAATGGTATAAGTACACCGAGATAAAGTAACGTGTTGGCAGTCTCGTGTTACTTAAAACCGATATGAAAAATAATGAGGTTCTTTATTTTTATTTCTCTGATCTACATTTACATATAGGTTTTTATAGGTTGTAAAGGTTTTTATGGTGTCCTGCTCTGGGATGGCATATTTAGTAGCACCAAGAGCTGTCCACAAACGTCTTCTTGTGATTTTAACTTACAATAAAAAGTTGATAGCATTCAGTATCTGGGGCGGTATAACCATACTATACCTGTAGTGCATCGCACTTTAATTTATTAGTGTGACCATTATGGGTATGTGCATAAAGTCTAGTACAAACTGGTGTTACACTGAAGTCGGTAGAACTTGCTGGTACGCTCACGCAAATACAGCAAGGAGTGGTGGTGAGATCGCCGGGGAAGAGATGTTCAAATAAATATAGTAACTTTTTAGCAGATTTTCACTATTTGCCATTGAAATTCCTGGTCCTGTATCCAAATTCAACTAAAATTACGATTTTCTGTGTAGCTTGTTATAAAAAGAACAGAGTACTCTTATAACGTTACGCAGGACCTACGTAGATGCGCAACTTCCAGCAAGTTTTTAATCGAATTATACACTAAACAACAATCAAGTGTAATGATCTAAATACAAAAAAAAAAAAAAAAAAATGTACATAGGTATCATTTAACATAGCAACTGCTGTTTGGGCTTGTTTTTGTCAAATTGATATCGAAGAATATTAAAGAAATTTTATTTTTATAAAGCGTGTGAAATTTTTCCGTTAAGTTTATTATAAGCAAGAAACATTCTACACTTTAATAAATGATTTTTCTGACGTAATAGTCTGTCATACGTCAATTTAACACTAAAGTTTTTAGCGCGTGTTTTATTTAAAAATATTTACTAAATAATGGAGAATAATGCTTAAGAAAACACTTCGGAATATCATTATAATTAGAATTTTGTTACAAAAATTTATTTCTAATCCAATCGTGTAAGTTACACCGTTTGATGTTTTGCTGTAGTTTTATAAAAGATATATCGAGAGGAATTAAACTGTTTACAATACAGAACTTGCCAATAACACTATATTATGACAATATTATTATTATTATACAGTTATTATGAAAATATATTTGTTCAAATTAAACGCTGATAATGTTATTTACGGCTTTTTATTCAGAAAAAGAAAATAACAATCCCGGAACGATAGAAACTGTTAAAACGGACAAAATAAAAATCAATAAGACAACATTTTTATAAATATTCTTTAGACTTTTAAAATCATTAAAAATTCTCCGTATTTCTAACGTCAAAACAGGTTTACAACGGGGTAGTGGTGAGAGATCCTTCCTTGTGACCGAAGACACCCTTACTTCTATAACTGGAGCAGTTAAAGAGAACAATGGAATAGTCTTTAAAAACTATTTTAATTAATTACTTTTATTCTTTAAAACCATTGTAATGTAAGCATTATAGTTATATGGAGTTATTTTCTCTCGATAAGATCAGAAATTTCTTAGTAACAAAAACAATGGATAAAAGGAACAGGATCTTCCTTTTATCCATATCGGTTAGGACGGTAACCTGACTATAAAAATTAATAATCGATCTCGTCCTATTTATATTTTTATTTTACACGTAAACATTCAAATTATTTGTAAATAAGCGTATACTTTTTTCAAATATAGAAGCTTTAATTACCGATATTCTTAAATTACACAAATGTTTTTCTATAATAACACCGTTAATTATAAATTATTAATGAGATATCTCGTTTTAAATTTCGTTAGATTTGAAAATAATAAACCGATTGAAATTGTTTTTCCAAGAATGTTCTATTAGAAAGCCCGTTATAGGTTTGGCTAGGACCAAAATGGAGAGGACGGGTGGTGGGGGACGAGAGCGGAATTTATCCCGTTGGACCACAAAGATTTAAACACAAAATACTTGTTTTGTGAAAAATTTCTGGTTCTGTTTACGCTCTAAAACCGTCTTAATATGCCTGTTATTAGCGTAAATTTTTCATACAAGAATGACTCACAAGTTCTCAATAGGATTTATGTCCGGGCATCTCGCTGGCTACTTCATAACTTGAATATTATGATCATGGAACCACTTAGTTCTTGAGTGTGAACAATGAGTACTGGCATTGTACAGTTGAAAAATTCAAACAGGTCCTACAATTTTTATAGGTAATAAATTATTTTTTAGTACTTCTCGATAACTTTCAGACGTCTGTCTACTAGTTAAAATCGCTAAATTTGATAAACTATTAAATCCAAAGCAGCCCCATACCATAATAGTACCACCACCGTGTTGCCTGCTAGAAAACTATGCTTCTCTTTCCTAAAATCATGCCAGTAACTGCACTTAACGGAATGCGGTAAACAGGATTTCGTAAGGTCCACGACTACCCTTTCAACAGTGACAATATTTATTTACAAAACAAATCGTACAAGTACACTTAAGAGCTACACGTACTCTCGCTGCTATCACCCGACGACGACAAAAAAAAATACTCTCTCTCTCCCAGAATCCCCTGCCGGAAAAAACTATCCCGTCCAACGTATTTTGTGTACGAGACTCTGGGAGAACTCACTAGAGGAATGGCGCCATCTCTCGAGTCCGTGATAAACTAACCGTCGCCGCTGAAGAGAAAACGTGGAATTTTCGAACAAATTTACAATTAAACCACTTACAATAGAAAATGCCAACAACACATTCTAACAATTCGTTATGTATTGTTAGAATATATTGTTAAGAACACGTGACGTATTACGATCCAGTCATATTTCCATCGAACTGTAAATAACCGAATGCATGGCCAGTGCTCGGTCAGTGACATTTCGGCAAATGATTTGGCCAAAGGTCAATATTCGGCTTTTAGCGAATAACGAATGTGTGGATGCGTTCCATAAACATAAATATTTGTTTCAGCTGGAAAGATATGCAAATCGTAGAAGGATTTGTATTTTACTGTCATATATTGTGTTCTTGTGTACTCTAATCGTGTGATTTTATATTGACTTTTACCTCGTTTTCGAGCGTCATTATCGTCGAGGTTTTCATTAATTTCCACGCTTATTTTTGTTGTTTTGCTTTTAATATAAAGGTTTGTGATTGGACCGATTGTTTCTTGTTCTTTATAACATTACCTGTATTAACTAGCAAATAAATATTTCGAAAAAAAGAAAAACAATGACCTTTAGCTACTGAATAGGTCTTAATATCGTATCCTTTATTTCAAGATGATGTTTCTGAACACTGGAAAATTATAAGTAGATGTTGGACTTATTTGTTATCCTACTTTTTTCCGGTTGTCGTGCAGGAAAAGTAGTGTTTACCCCGAGATGGTGAAATGAAATTACATTGTCTTTGCTTGCAGAAAGGAAAGAGGAGTAAGTATTAACGACGGGAGAAATATACAGTTATAAAATATCGCTTCTGCTTATGATTCTAATCTAAATTGACAACGTGAATACATAGAACGAATAAAATTATTTTTATTTATTCTATACATTTACGTTTAAGTATAAACATACAAATAAAATAAATGTATTGTTAGATAATTTTTTTCAATGATTATTAAATGCTTATTTAAAAAAAAATAAGCATTTTTCAATATGGAGAGATGGCTTGATCATATTACTGCTTTTAGAAAATTGCTAAGAGTAATATCGATTTTGTTAATAATAGTCTACGGAAATAACTATGATACACTACTTGTACAGTCCATTAATTATTACATGCTTTTAGTCATTCATATTCTTTAAAAGTTTTAATATTTACTGTCCAAAATGATAAATATAACTTAATGCATTTTGAAATTAGATTATTATTAAGTTTCCATTATGTTAATCAATATTCGCATATTTTTATCGCAGCTAATAAAAAGAAAGCAATGGAATAAGTATTAACCTTGCGTGGGTAATATTAATAGGTACGTAGAACATCGAGACAACGAAGAGAAATGTTCATTTTATTATTTCGAGGCTACTCTTCAGGCTACCAGTCAGTATAAGTCTAGTAATTATTCATGGAATATTCTATTTTGGATGCAATTCGTCCTTATCTAAACGTTTTACGCGTTATTGGTGTATTTATACCGAAGCGCAAGGATTATTTATGGGTTAAAGCGCTTCTATTTAATACATACTTTATAACAATAATTTCCATTTTATTCTTGTTTCCCGATCAATTATCAAAGATTTTTATAAATTCGCATATTGATGATTTCTGTGGCATACCCGTTTTATGGGATATCTACGGAAGGAATTCACGCTTCGCAGTATTCATTGCACTTTTAATATCTCCGTTATTTCTTTACCTGTATAATACAAATGCATTTCACATAATAAAGACGATCAAAATCCTGGATGAAAACGTAAAATGCGTGAAGAAAATTCAACAAAAATTACTGCATTATCAAGACTTGGTTGTAATGTATTTCAGCTTCGTCCAAATATTTGTGTGTCTGTTAGTTGGCACTTTGTACGTGTATTACAGGAACGCTTACGGATACTCAAATTTACTATGGCAAGAAAGTTTCTGTACTTTTCATTTATTATTCGGTGTTCTCACCAATGTCAGCGTCATTTGTTATAGCGCGGGATTCATTTGGATTCTTACATACATCTCTATTCAATTGTTAGATACATTTATTATAGACATAAAGGAAAAAATACAAAAAAAAGAAGTTAATAGCAAGACATCGCTACTGGAACTGTCTTCGATTGTATATTTTATTAAAAGTATCGATAAAATATTCAAAACTATTCATTCGTTGTTCATAACAGTTTTCATTCCCATAATCAGCATAGTAATTATATATATGGTAGTTTACGTAACGATTACAATCGAATCTCTGTTGATATGCTTTTCAATATTTTGGATGGGCACTGTTATCCTAATATATTTTCTTTACTTGACAAGAATTCCTTCGAACGTAAGTTACTTTTAATTTACAGAAAATTCTGTAAATTGTATGTCTTCTAATCATATGAATAGTTTAACTACAATTATATAATAATACATTTCAGATGGAACGGTTTTTCACTTGCATAATGGACATTTATTTCCTTGACGATGACAATAACAAAATCGTAAATATTCTTTCATAATTTATATATTGAATATTTTACTTCGATTTTCATTAAAATATGTCTAATTTTTATTACATTTTAAATCAAAACTCGCGTAACGACAGTACAATGAAATTTGTTTTCTTTGTTTTCAGGAGGAAGTATTAATGTCCATATCGAGAGCCGAAGTGGGTTTTAGAAGCAACAATTTCTTTTTCTTCGAGAAGCAAGCGGTTTTAAGTGTAAGTTTACTTTTTCATATACTATATTATAGTAAGGTTTATTGTTTCTACTATTGTTTATTTATATAGAAAACTGCTTGTATATAAGCAGTTTTCTATTTAAAAAAAAAAAAGTGTATTTTCTTTCAGTATATTCTGGAGTTTATCACACAATTCATTGCATTTTTGATAATAAGAAGTAAACCTATCTTACATTAGTTCGTATCCCACTGAATATTTCACTGATTTGTGACTTCATAAACGAAAAATTCTGCTCGATGCTTATTGTTACTCTCAATTCATATTGGAGATTTTCAAATTAGATGTGTCGTTTATATTGTGAAATCTACAGTGACTTTACGTCATCGTATTCAATGCCCATATCTCGAGACAGTTGAGGCTGCAGTAGATTTTCAGCGGCTTCGATCTACTGCAACGGAATTCAAACGTTAAGTTGATCGTAAGAAAGTTCTTTGTTAATTATTTTTGATTCACCAAAATGCAAAGATGCATTTTACTGTGAAAGAAGAAACGGGAGTGTTCTTATGATTTACGGCAACGTAATTGTTTCGTGTGTTTAGAATCTCTTTTAACTTCACACACGACGAACAATGCTCAGTTATAGAAAATGATTATTCGAAACAATTGAAAAACAAAGGTGAAAATCATATGTTTTCATAGAACGAACAAATTGGCAGAAATTCACAGCCATCTCGACTGGAACTAATGAAATATTGGGCAGAAGAGTTAACAAAAGTGTTTAATATATTTTAAAGCGATTCGTTTATAAGCATTAATTAAATAATATTAAACACAGGAGAATGACATCTCTGACACGTAACTAGAAATTCGGTTTGTAGGAATGTGGAGTATGAAACTAATACCATCTCATTGTTCTTATTTGTTCATCAGCGGAAAAAAACTGTACATAAACTTTGCATCATTCGAAAAGAGTGCAACCGATAGAAGTCTTTTCAGAATTTGGTGCAAAACTTTCGTTCGTTGCACACAGAACAGAGAAATTGTTTCCGCATCGGCTAACACGCAACTATGTTAATCTGTAATCAAAATTTCAAAATTGTAAGAAAGTGAAAGCCTAACTCTACTTATCGCACTTTTGTTTTCGGTAGAAAAATGTACAAGATCCACGTATCATCGTAAAATTGTAATACACGCTTCAATTACTTTAAAAATCACTTTCTGTAATGGGAAACAACAATTTTACTTTTTAATTGTTTATTAGAGTCTACGATTATTTTATATCCGTAAACTGCATTCCTGTCGGCCTGTGATTGGCTCATGTTATTTAAGGACTCGTAGAACGTGAATTTCATAAAAAGTGGAACGTATCTTTCTTGTTATAGGTGGGTCGACTGTACAGTACATGTAATTAGTATAATGATGTATGTACGAGTATAGGCGTTTGTGAGACTAATCGGGGGTAGGATGTTTACGAGTTCTTGACTCTCCTACCTCTTACTCGACTCAAGACCTTGAGGTCCGGTCTCGCTTGTCTAAAAGATGGGAAAAAAGGGGGTTAAGGGAAAGAATCTAACGATTCTTTCCCTTAACCCCCTTTTTTTCCAAAAGCGGGCAAAATATAAATTAGTCGCGACCCTAACCGCGAGTTGGGAATATTCGAGAGAGAGCTTATATATCATCGCGAGTAGAATAAATACCTCTAGTTATAACGTGGATGTAGGTTCTTGTTCTCCTGGGTTCGTAATATTGTCCAAAGTTCAAAATCCAAGTTCAAGTCGTAATCAAAGTCCATAGAAGACGGTGGCGACGGGAGGCAGGTAATCCATACAGACACAGTATAGAAAATAACTTTTTCCCCCTTGTGTCGTCATCGCACTTGTCTTTTATATGGGGGCTCTCTTTTCGAGATTTCCCCGTGTACGTCACAGGTGATGATCTTCGTTGACCAATGGTGGGCGAAGTGACAAACTTATGACACAACAGTTAACTCATCTTCTACAGGGAAGTATTTTCGTGGGAACGGAGTTTTTATGAGCGATTTTTATGAGAAAAGTTGTCGGTTGTTTTTCCCTTTTTGTGTTAACCCTAACATTATAAAAAATCGGTTTGGTTTTGGAACAAAACGGTAAATGAATGAACAGAATGAATATAACTATTCGAATCTCGGCCTTCTTAAATCCTGGCCCTCACACGTTATTATTGTTAAAATATTAAGTGTTAATAAAACAGTGAATATCTTGTCTGATTAGAAAACTGTATTCAGTGTATTATCTTCAGAGTCCCTGAAATAAATCACGTAGAGACGTCTAAAGATATTGTCTACAGAAATTATAGAAAGCAAAATTTTATATCTTATTCCTGTGGATATGTTCTTTACGTACTGGTAAATCGTATACAGAAACAAAGTTTATAGTAATGTAGTCTTGTTTAAATATAGTGTATATTGCCGTTTACAACCCGATTATTTTAACAAACATTTCCTAATAATTTTAAAACAATATAACATGCTGCAACAACCGACAATGTCTATGCGAAGAATGTTTTTCTTCGTTGACTCTGTATAAGAGATTTTCGGATTATTTTTAACTGTCTATTTTTTAAGACATTTTTTGATGTTGAATAGTTTGTATGGTCGTTTTTATGATATATTAATAGTAAAGATTATTAAAAATATAATTAATATATTCTTCATAATCCTTACTATTATATATCTATATCTATAAATGAAATGTTTGTTTTTTCGTTATTCACTTCAATCCTGTTCAACCAACTGCTAGGAAATTCGACTGTTTTATTTAAAAATCTTCTAACTTAGATTATGGAGTAATTTCACTCCAAACTACACATTGGATTTCTATATATCAATTAATTTTCGTTTAATTGTACTTGCTAGGATTACATACAGTGTAATCTGTTGGCGAAACAATAAATAAATGGTAATTCTTACCGCGTTGATAACACATTGGTGATTTTCGAATTGTTGAGCTGCAATTTGAAAACATTCTATTTAATACATACTTTATAATAATAATTTCCACTTTCGTCATTTATCCGGATCATTTATCAAAGATTTTTATAAATTCGCATATTGATAATTTCTGTGGCATTCTCGTTGTGTGAAATATCTACGGAACCCATTCACGCTTCGCATTATTCGGTGCACTTTTAATGTTCGTTTTATTTATTTACCTGCTTAATACAAATGCATTTCTCATAATAAAGGCGATCAAAAACCTGGACGAAAACGTAAAATCCGTGAAGAAAATTCAACAAAATTTACTGCTTTATCAAGACGTGATTGTAATGTATTTCAGCTTCGTCCAAGTATTTGCGTGTTTCTTATTTGGCACTTTGTATGTATATTACAGGAACGCTTACGGATACTCTAAATTATTCTGGCAAGAAAGTTTCTGTACCTTTCATGTTTTATTTGGCGTATTTACTAACGTCAGCGTAAATTGTTATAGCGGGGGATTCATTTTGATTCTTACTTACATCTCTATTCAATTGTTAGGCACATTTATTATAGACATAAACAAAAAAATACAAAGGGACGAAGTTAATAGCAAGTCATCGCTACAGGAACTGTCTTCGATTGTATATTTTATTAAAAGCAGCGACAAAATATGCAAAACTATTCATGCGTTTTTTATAACAATTTTCATTCCCGTAATCATCATAGTAAATATATATATGTTAGATTACGTAACGATTACAATCGAATTTCTGTTGATATGCCTTGCAATATTTTAGACATGGATTGCTATAGTAATATATTTTCTTTACTTGACAAGAATTCCTTCGAACGTAAGTTATATTCATTTTATAGAAATTCTGTAAATTGTATCTCTCCTGACCACATAAATTGTTTAAGAAGAATTATGTAATCAATACATTTGAGATGGAACAGTTTTTCACTTGCATAATGGATATTTATTTTCACGACGATGACAATAAGAAAATTGTAAATATTCTTTCACAATTTATAAATTAACTTTTTTCTTCGACTTGCATGAAAATATGTTTGAATTTTATTATATTTTAAATCAAAACTCGCGTAACGACAGGACAATGAAATGTGTGTTCTTTGTTCTCAGCCGGAAGTATTAATGTCCATAGCGACAGCCGAAGTGGGATTTAGAAGCAACAATTTCATTTTCTTCGACAAGCAAACGGTTTTAAATGTAAGTTTAATATATCATATAGGCCTATTATATTATGTGGAATTCATCACACAATTAATTGGATTTATTATAATAAAAAGTAAATCTATTATAAATTAATACGTATCTTACCGAATATTTCACTGATCTGTGACTTCGTAAACAAAAATCATGTTCGATGCTTATTGCCCGAGAAACGTCGGCCTCATCTGCTAGCTATTTATAAGCCAGTATAGATAATTGTTAATTTATTGTTACTAAATGGCATATAAATAATTTCTAAGCACGAAATAAAATATAAAATAACAAAACTTATAAAACTTATACCTTTAATATATCAGTAACACTAGTTACAACATATTTTAAGTAGCCGAACATTGCCTTATAAAGAACGGTGAAAGTGACTTTTTATTCCACTTTTGCAGATGTTGATGGCTTCTCGAGATCGTCTTTGGATTCAGAAATTAAACTTTGACGTCTTTCTTTCGATTTCACAAAGTTGTTATATTTCCGTCTGTAACTTTTCAGCTTATATTTCATTTCTAAGTTTCTGAGCTTGCGTTGGAGTTCATTACATAAATCCTTCGGCATAGTTGAAAATAATTTCAAATGTGATAATAGAACCGAACAAAGTTTCTTTTTCTCTACTTCTGTA